CCAAATTTAACATTTTTAAATGTAGGAAGTGGTGTTTTGTTTTGTTTTTTATGTGTACTTGTTTTTCCAGATGGTTCATTTATTTTCATTGAAAAAGATCAGTGCAAGTCAAAACCACAAAACTGTCTGGAAGCAATTGAGAAAAATAGAAATACGTTGGAAATGATCGGCCCTGTTATGTGTAATATGATTAAATGAGAAGTTCAGTGAGCAAACATGAGGTTTCAGATTCAGTTGTTACAGCTTAATCTAATTTCAAAGTAACCACAACAACTTTTTTCCCCTAAAGAGCAAATGACAGGCCGGCCTGTCTGCGGTATGTGCTGTGAGCTTCGTGGATCTGAGTCATACGTGAGGACTTCTCAGCCCATGTTCTTTAACTGCCCTGGTGGGGAAACTCCAAGTCTCTCCTCAGGCCTGACTAGGCTTTGGGGAGATGGGTCGGGGCCTCTGGGTCAGGGCCTCTGGATCAGGCTCTTTCCTGTGCTGGTTTGCAGCTGTGGACCAGTGATTTCTTAAGTGCCTGAAATTGTTAAAAATGCCAGAGAAGGTGTGACTGTTTACACTTCTCTGGGAACTATCTAATCCCTTCTAAAGAGAACTTGAACTGGTCTACAAGGCATGATTTTGTGTGTGTGTGTGTGTGTGTGAATAGGTGTTCATTCATGGGAAGGTAAAAATGTGTTTCAAATAGAGCCCTTCAGATGTTTATGGAGCTCTTAACCACCCACACTCAGCTGATAAATATGTGTCTGAATCCTCGACTATCAAGTGGGAAAGAACCCTCAAGATCACCCACCTCCACAAGTACCATCTTTTAGATGAGGAAGCTCATGCAAGAAAGAGGTAGTGACTTAAGCAGGTTCTTGCAATTAGTGGGTGACCAAACAGGGCCAGACCCGTAGCCTCCTAGCTCCTAGCCCAGTGTTCTTTCTACTCCATTTCACTGCCTCCTTAGGTTAGAATCCCATGAGATCAGCTGTACATATTGGTTATATACAAAGGAGCCTAATGTCGTGAAAGTGTACACGTTCACATTACATACAATGTCATTATCTCATACATTTGACTAATCCAAAATATTGAAAATTTGAAATATAATAGTGATACTGTATTTAACTGTAACAGTAATTGTTACATTGCACTTAAATGAAATGTATTAAACATAACCACATTTGTGAAACATACTGCTCAGTGCCATAAAATTGAGAGTAACTACTGGATGATGATTTTGGATGGCCCATCCATGTCTTAAGAAAAAAAAAATGTAAAGACAAACAAAAAACTCTTTGTCCAAGTAGATGAGAGCAGATGTTTCTTTTCCACTCCATCTATTCCTTATAGAAGATGAAAACATTAAAAGTCATCCTACTGATCATTTTTTTCCCCAAAAGAAACCACTTGAACATTTAAATATCTGAAGGCAGTACTGAGGATTTTTGTCATAATGAGCATCTGGAAAGAGGCTCTTTGCGAGTCTGAAACTCTGTTATCACTCTTCCCTCCCCATCCCTGCCCCCACCTTTTCCTGTGTACTTCTTATCATGGTGAACTTTTCTTGTAATTGCTGTTATGTGTCTCTACATGGTGTGTTCTGACTTCTAACTCATTTAGTTGTAGCATCTCAACTTCTTATATTCTTTTGTTCGTTGAATATGTATTGGGAAAGTGAGAAGATATTAGAAAAGGCCAGTTTGAAAGAGTGAGAGACCTTGGGGAGAGGAAGAGAAAGACAAGGGGGAAAAGAGTGAGTTATACAGAGGGAAGCTGAGGTCATGGGTGACAGGAGGAGCGCAGGGCACACAGGCGCCTGGTGGATCAGGCAGCCTGGATCTGGTGGGGCTGTGGTTTCCTGCTAACCACTCTCCTTCAGTCTCCTATTTCCTTCCACCCAGTACCGAGTGTTGCCCAACCATCCCTCTTCCCGTGGTCTTTTCTCTTCCTGTACCATGGCTCTGAGTGTTACTCTGTGAGTAGCTTCCAGGTTTCTGTGTTCCTCCCTCATCTCACAAGTCCACGTGTCACCTGCAGACGCTTCCCTCTTTGTGTTAAGCCAGTGATCAAACTCACTGGATCTAGTTGATCTCACCCCTTCAATCCTCTGCCCCTCTCCTACCTCCCTCATTCCTGAGGAGCCTCCTTTTGACAGGCTTATCTTTGTTCAGGCACTAGGATTAGCATCATGACCCTGCCTCCCCGGCCACCTTCTCTCCCTCAGACTTGCTTATTGAGTTCTGATCTCATCTGGATCCTTACCCTGTCCTCCCTGGAGGCCCCACACCCTCCAGCTACTTCTCTGCCTCTCTTGCCTACAGCTACCCCACTTATATTTCTAAAAAGACTGCCTTTTGAATTTTCCTGGATCTCCCCCATGTATACATGTTATTAAACTTTTGTTTGATTTTTTTTTCCTGTTTAAAAATAAAGAGACTTCCCTTTGCTGACGGTCTGAAGTCTGGCGCTGTAATACGAATCCCAAACTCAGAGCTACCTAGCTTGCAATCTGCTTGTCTTTCCCGATACCTTTTCCCACTGCGTGACCGCCAGCTGAGACTCACCACCCCCAGCCCATGTGGTGCAAGCTTGCTTCTGTGCTTTCGGTGCTTTCTTCTCTCTGCCTGGAGTAGCCCCTCCCCCGTGCGTGCCCACACGCCAGTGGAAATCCACCCTCCTCAGCCTTCAGGCCCTCCTGAGAGGGAGACTGCTGCCCAGTCCTCTTTCTTCTTTCATCTGTCTTTAATTTTAACGGTGTGGTATTACTCACCCAGCATCTGTGTGCTACCTTAATTTGTGTTTAATTCTTACGTCTTCTCCTAGAAAATAACCTCTTTGAGAGAAGCCACGTTATGTAACACATCTCCACACTCCGCAAGGCACCTAAACCTTGCGCTTGCTGCGAGGTAGATGTTCAAGGAATTTTGCTGAATGGATGAATGAATGTGTAAATGAGTGACTTTCATATCCAGCAGTCCCCTCTCCCGGCCTTAGTTTTTCCATCTTTTAAGTTGAAGGATTTGGATTAGATGATCTTTAAGGTTCCTTTTTAATTTATCTCACATCCAGGTTTAATGTTAAAAGCTATGGAAAAGAAGAAAAGCTATGAAATAGCCTTTCGAGTTTTATTACTATGTGTCATACACAGATCAGGCATCATTAGGAATTTTACACACACACACACACATACACATATGTCATTGAAATATTTCCTAGCTCACTAACTTATTTTTCTCTTTCCTAGGTTTACAAGTTGTCCTGAACTCCATTATAAAAGCCATGGTTCCCCTCCTTCACATAGCCCTTTTGGTATTGTTTGTAATCATTATCTATGCTATTATAGGATTGGAACTTTTTATTGGAAAAATGCACAAAACATGTTTTTTTGCTGATTCAGGTGAGTAATGAAAATAGTAGATAACCTTACTTTTTAAAAATTCAGCTTTCCCAAAAATAACTTTTGCAGTTTGGGGAAAATCTAAAACAAAATGAGAGAGAGAGAGAGTGAGAGAGAGAGAGAAAAGAAAGCCAAATACACCAGTAAATCTAAGCCAGTTGTTAGTATGAATTATATTCAGAATAAATGAGAATTTAGTCTCCTTTTCTATCTTAATTTCCTATGTAAGGTATTCTGACAAGGACTCTGAAAACTAGACCACGAGGTGAATCAGTAGTGTTGTTCTGTAAAGGCTGAAGAAAGGTTCTGTAAAAGTGAGGACAGAGGAGAGAGCAGTGGACTCTGAGTAGAGGAAATGGCAAATCCCATGAAGGAGGGAATATGTGAAGTGAATCTTGAAGGGCAAGAGGAGTCCAAGACAGCGTAGCTGGGACATAGGGCGTTCCAGGGTCTGGCAAGGGGACAACAGCTTCTGCGGCTTGGTTTCCTGATGCTCCCCTCTCCCTTGAGTTCTGAAGCCTTCCTCCTCTGTTGGCAGATGTTGTAGCTGAAGAGGACCCAGCACCATGTGCGTTCTCAGGGAATGGACGCCAGTGTACCGCCAATGGCACGGAGTGTCGGAGTGGCTGGGTTGGCCCCAATGGAGGCATCACCAACTTTGATAACTTTGCCTTTGCCATGCTCACCGTGTTTCAGTGCATCACCATGGAGGGCTGGACAGACGTGCTCTACTGGGTAAGCAGCTTGAGGAGAGAGTCTGTGGAATGTTCTTTCCTTGGATAGAAGTGTTTCATTAGCTAGAGCCATTGGCTAGAAGAGAAACCCCAGAAGTGAGTTCTTTGGGAAGGGATGCAGACCCTCCCTTCACTCAGGACCTGTCATCCCCACCTCAGGGCCTTAGTTTCAGCTCTACAGAATGTTGGCTCTCTCCCATCCCCAGTCCCACTGAGCTGGTTTTGCCCAGTAGTCTGCTTTTTAGGAGGAACTCCAGCAGGCCAGGGCTGTCCTGATTAAATGCTTAGAAAGCCAGAGGTCATTTCCCCAGTTAAGAGGCTCCTGGACTCCATGGACTAAATCTTGTTCTACTAGGCCCTATACAGGAGATAGACAACATGAATTGGATCCTTTTCATGCTTTCCATAGCTTAGGACAGCCTTAAAGCCAAAGTCGGGTTTTCCCTTATTACAGTATTTCCCTTTTGCATCTTCAGTATTACTATAAATCAGCCCAGCATAAGCCCTCTGCTCTCTCCCTTTCTCTTTGGAGCCGGGACCTCTGGCAGAGCATGCAGAGGTAGCTCGTCAGCCTTCCGGGACTGGTGGAGCTGTCCGTGAACACGGAGGGATACCCTTTGTGTGGTTGCCGCCTGGTTCTTATTCCTGATGGAGCCAGGGGGTGGCTATAAATGAAGAGCAGTCATATTTTAACAGCCTTTTCTCAGAGCAGAGTTTGTTTGTTTACTTCTTTGCCTGATAGAATTGGGAAAAGCTCATAGAAGTTTAGAAATGATTTTCCACGGCACAGAGTTGCTGGAAAAAACAGCCGACTTGCGGATTTTGAGCCTAAACTCAAGTCCAAACAGGATTAACCCAGATTCCAATAATGATTTGTTAAAAGGCAGTTAGTAATAAAATACTTCTTGAATGAGCAGTCTCTAGTTAGAATGCCTGCAGATTGAGAAGGAGCTTCTGACAGGATCTAACTTTCAGACACTTGATTGAATTTCCCATTACTCTGTAACTTCAGAGATTGTAGCATGTAATGGTTATGAATAGATTTTTTGCTTCCCTTCACCAGTGAGCACCATACTTACAGGATTGTAGGAGTCCCTGTATATTCAATGTTAAGCAAAGGAGGTATGTTTTTATTTTCATCCCTCAAGTATGAATCTAGTTTGGTAATAAGGTTTTTTTAAGCATCACCAACATGTTCTATCTTTCCCCCCTCCTTTTCTTATTGTCATAGGAGAGTGTGTGTGTGTGTGTGTGCGCGCGCGAGAGTGTGTGTGTCTCTCTGTGGGTATGCACATCTGTTATTTATATCCATAACACAATGGCTTTCATGAAGAGGAAGAAGGAAAGAGATTCTATTGGATGAGCCAGGTCCATGGCCCTGCAAGGGGACCTTCTAATTATGTAAAGTGTTTGTTTTCACTGTTTCTTCCTAAGTTGCAACTCCTACATAGAGTAGTGACGTTCTCATAACCAGTCTTCCCTTGGAGTTTTCTGATAAATAGAAAAAGCATCATCCAACTAGCCCAAACTGATCCTTCCCCCACACAAAGAGTACAGAAGACAACATTCTGATTGAAAACAAACAGACAAAAAATCTGTGACTCCCCACAGCTCTGTTCTCCCTGTTGTCACAGTGAATTGTCCGTTGCCGATCCAGCATGCCTTGACTAATGGACAGTTTTATCCTTTATTATGTTTCTGTATGTTGATCCTCTCATGACGATGTTCCTGTTGCCACGCAAGTGAAAACTCTGGGAGTGTGTGATGAAAGGAGAGGAAACTCCATGCACCCAGAAACAAAAGTTTCACTTGCTTTCCTGAGAACCGTTAAGTATCACCTAGGATGATATAATTATTACCTCTATTATTCATATGACAATCACAGAGCTAATAATTTGACAATCTAATAATTACATTCTCTATGAATTACATGGCATCTTTATTCCAACGGAGGAACTCCAATAATTTACCAACATTATTCCAGTCTATATCCCTTTATAGAACATCTCAGAAACAGTGGAATACAGACCCCTGGACATCCCCAGGGTCTTACTGCAAGTGCTGTGGTCCATGATCTAAAACAGGGGTCTACAGACTTTTTTATAAGGGGCTAGGCCATATTTGGTCTTGCAGACTGTAGTGTCTCTGTCACAACTACTCCAGTTTTGCCCATGTCACTTGGAAGTAGCTGTAGACAACATGGGAACCTGTGGCTTCCTTCTGATACTTATCTATGGACACTGAAATGTGAATTTTGTAGCACTTTCCTGGGTCATAAGATACTGCTGATTTTTTTCCTCACCATTTAAAAATGTAAAAGCCATTTTCAGCTCATGGGCCATGCAGAAGCAGGTGATGGGCTGGGCTTGGCCTGCAGATCATAGTTCAGTGACCCCTGGTCTAGACTAGAACCCAGCCCTCTGTCCTTGACATTCTTCCACTGTCAGAGGTTCGTGAGCTCTTCTCAAACACTAGGGGGCAGCTCAGTAATGTCTTCCAGAGTGCTCAGAAAGATCTTATTCTCTGAAACATGTCAGGTTGCTTTTAATTACTTGTTGATTGCATTTATTAACTCAGCATAGACTAGGCAGGAGGCAGGGCCCCAGCCTTTTCCATACTTTATGGGCCACGGTTGGCTGGAAGCCACACAGTTCTGTTCCAGAACACCCTGGCCCAGAGCAGGTGCTCGGCAAATGCCAATTACACTTCAGGTGTCTCATCCCATTGCTTCAGTGTAGATGCGCCATGTTTAAATGCCATTTTAATCCACAACCAGGATGTAAAGCGAGCATCTGAGACAGAACTAAGGAGATTCGATTTTAAATGTTGATTGCAAGGAGATTTCTCAGTCCTTTAGGTGTTTGTATATGGTGGACAAAGTCTTTACAGGGATATTTTGCATCTTGTCAAGATCATATTCAGTCAGTGTTCTCAAGCCCGTTGATGCCACAACTCTCCAGAGTGCCTGGCAAGTGGCCAGCAGGGTCTTGACAAGGGAAATGCAGGGGGCCCAGTATGCAGAATGACACACATAGAGCAGAGCCACGTGGATGTGTGGGGAGGGGATTCTTAACTTCTGGAGAAACATAATTTTTTTCAGCACTCTCTTATGAGGTGAATTCCATAGACATAATTGAGCTGCCATCTGACCCACATGTATTTGATGTCCTTAGAGGCAGAAGGGTGAAGTGCAAGGAAAGAGCCTTGAGGCTGCCTAGGGCTGGGCACGTGACCTTGGGTAGGTCACCAAAACTCTTGGGCTTTAATTTTGTTGTCCACAAGATGCAGAATAACACTACTTGATTTCATTTTTTTCTTTCAACTTGGGGGAAATGTTTTTAAGTGTAGGAAATTAAGTAAAATAGTATTGGTTTCAGGAGAGAGCTATCCATATAAACCGTTTATGGCCTTTTGCTTTAGTACCAAGCTCTTTTCTCAGCACATCCATGGCAGCGATGGCTGTCAGACCGAACGGGAAGTTCTGTCTCAGCCAAGCTGACAGTCTCCTTCATTCCTGTTATCTGGGAGACCCCTCTCTAGTTCACCAACAGCTTGCCTTTCTTCGCCTTTCTCTTATTCCATGCTCAGGGAAGTGACCACCAATTTATCAAGTTTCTAGTGGTGTTAGCAACACTTAGAAAAAAACAAAAAGCCTCAGGTTAGCCTTTAATTGGAGACATGGATGTGCATTTCAGCCTTTGAAGTGAGGGAAAACTGAAACTAAATGGATTATTATTTCCTGAGTACCAGGTGACACCACATGAAGACTTTGATATACTTCAAAAATCTAAATTGAAATGCCTGAGCTCATGCCGATTTCTCCATTGTTGACAAAGACCATGCAGACAAAATCCCAAGCACAGTCTCTATTTTCATGTGGGGGTTTGGGGGACCAGCTTGCCAGTTCTGACTTGTCCCATGTGTGTGGTAAGGTCTAAGAAATACTAGCCTCTGAAAAGAGACCCTTGTTGAGAAGGTTTAGTTGGGAGAAAGACTGTCCCCTAAAGCTTAATTTTTGTTTCTCTTTCCCACCTTCTGGAGATTTAAAGTCTCCTGTGGCCTTGGTTTTCCCCTCAGCCCCAGCTGTTGTTCCAGGTAATATTTCTGATTTGAGCAAATGAGAGAATAGGAGTCTGTTGAACACTGATTCCTAAACAATTAGAAGTCTCTTTATTTGGAGGAAAAGTTCCCTCTCAAGTGGGAGCAGACAGCTGTTCCTGGAGCCATTCTCTGGGCCATGGGACTGAGGCCTGGAAGAGGATGGGCAGGGCAGAGTGTCGGCTGACGGCTGACCTACTTTGCCAGAGTGTGGGAGCGCAAAGTCTCCTGGTGGGGGCCCTGGACGTGCACATCCTTCCCTCCCCATGGGCACACTCTGCCCTGCCACGTGCATTCCTCCTGCTCCAGCAGAGAGGAAATGGGCCCACAGAGGTCTCTGTGGAAGGGTCTGACTTCAGGCTGAGCTCTGCCCACTACCCCAGGCAGCCTGTTTCTTCTCCTCTGCTCATAGGTTTTTAAATAAGTTTAGTGGCACAGTTGCTTTGGAAGAATTACCCTGGGCCTTCCTGCTGAAATTAGTTTATCCAACTTAATTAGATCAACAATTGCAGCCACGGCCCTGGCTCATTCATTACCCTAATTGCCAATGTAAGATGTGCAGACTGATATGAGTTCTATTGAGCACATCAATTTTCATATGGCCAAACAGGTGTTTCAGAAGGGATTTAATACCCTCTCCCTCAACTTCAGCAACAGATGTTAGGTTTTTTTTTTTAATGTTTTCTTTTTCTATTTGGTTTCTGCATGAAACGAACAGTGAAATGCATGAGCTTCATTCTGTAAAGCTAAAACTAGAGCCAGATAATGTAGAGGAAAGCGCATGCTTAAAGTCCTAAGGGCTTGACCCTGCACACAAGAACCATGAATCGGCCCAGACTGTATACTGTTCTATTAGCTGGAGATTCTGGGTGTTCTAGCAAAGTCAAGCATGACGTCATTCATTCTGTCCCCTGACTGGTCCTTAACAACTTCTTTCTGGGAGAAGTGTTTGCCCAATTTAATGCTAACTTGTGCTGCTGGAAAGTTCCATCCAGCCGTGAACCTTAAAACACCTGTTTATTCCAGCAGGGAAATTGCTCATGACTGAACCTCTCCCGGGAAGATGTGTTGGGGCAGCCACGTCTGACTGCGCTGCTTGAGCTTGTCCCAGAATTAGGGGCGCCAGATTCCTTTGGGAAGCTCACTGCTGGAGCCAGCTCTCCAAGGGTGGGTCTTGTTGGTTCAAGCTAGGTGTAGGGGAGAGGGGCTTTTTTCTTTCCCTTCTCCTAGGTCCTTCCCATGGATGCAATTGGGAAAAACCTCATTCCCCAAAATACCCTTGAATGTGTGTCAGTTAGTTGACTTCTGAATACTTTCCTTCTTTGAATTAATTTAGCTGTGCTTGCACTCACTGATTGCAGATAATATAGGTTTAAAGTAGATTAGGTTTCCTTGGATAGGTTGGCTACTAATGGAAAGTTACTATTTCAGGGTTGTTTTTTTGTGGGGAGGAGGGAGAGGAAGTTAGTTTTATTCATTTATTTTTAGAAGCAGTACTGGGGATTGAACCCAGGACCCTGTGCATGCTGAGCATGTGCTCTATCGATTGAGCTATGCCCTTCTCCCTCAGGGTGTTTTGTTTGGTTTTTAAGAAAATAATTTATGGAGTTAAATGTTGCAAATTTGTCCCCATAACTAAGACTTTTCCACCATCACAAATTTTGAAAGCAAAAATAGTACTAATAACTTGAGAAGAGTAGAAAATAGTTTCCAGCTAAGCAGCAGTTTTGTCTTCTACTAAGATCTTTTCTGAAAAACCCCTTATCAAGACAGTTTCCTGTGAGAAAGAGCCAAATCCCAGCTGATTTCCCTCCCAGTGGCCAAAGGTTGCTATTGCTATTATTTGCCCAGAAAACTTTGGTGATTCTGTGTGTGTGTGTGTGTGTGTGTGTGTGTGTGTGTGTTGAGAATATATAATGAATGTGCTTTGGCTACTGTTGTTTGATTTGAAGCTAAGTAAATATTTCATTAAATGTATAGAATGCTGTCTCTAATGTGATCCTCTCTCCTTATTAGATACTCTTTTTTAACCCACTCCTATGAGACCGTCTTATTTCTTGCAGATGAATGATGCTATGGGATTTGAATTGCCCTGGGTGTATTTTGTCAGTCTCGTCATCTTTGGGTCATTTTTCGTACTAAATCTTGTACTTGGTGTATTGAGCGGGTAAGCTACACCTCTTTCATTTTGAAAGCAGAGTTCTGAGGACAGTTGCCAAGACCACACAGGCTTTGTTCGTGGGGGCCACCAGGCGGGTGCCAAGCATTTTCTGTGTCCTCCAAGATGCTTAGCTTTCTTTTCTGCTGAGGCTTCCCAAATCAAGCTGATTCCTGGAACCTCGCCAGCCTTCATGAAGGAAAGCTATAGGATAGTTATTGACCAGAAATTAATCAGTGTTGTCACTTGGGATTTAAATAGTTGGCATTGCTTGCCCATTTGTCTGTCCTAAAAGGAGATATATCTATAATTGCTTTATTGGTCTGGATCCAAATGTAATGCAGATTAATTGGTACAAAGCAGTAGCTAAATGACTTTTTGTGGGCCACATTGGTAGGTTTCAGCAGCAGAACATGTCCTCACTGAAGGAACCAAAATGGAAGGCCCTTGGCGGGGTCCCATCCTAGGAGCACCAGTCTTTGGTCAAAGCCCTAGTGGTCTGGCAGCTGGTCCTGGGGCTCTGCTCTTTGGCAAATGGATAACTGATAACTGATCTCCTTACATTTTACAGGTAAATGATGCGATAGGATGGGAATGGCCATGGGTGTATTTTGTTAGTCTGATCATCCTTGGCTCATTTTTCGTCCTTAACCTGGTTCTTGGTGTCCTTAGTGGGTAAGCAGTTGGATCCATGTTCCACATTCTGCTGCTGCCACATGTCAGGCGGCTCTGCGTGTCCCCTAGCTGCTCCCTGCGGCTTTCTCTGCATGCGTGTGGACTCTGATGTCCCCTCTGTGTGTTGCTTTTGGACTAAACTGTGATTCTTTCTGCTTGTATCTGTTTGTGAGATTCTGTGTTTATGATGCTTGCCAAACACAAGTAATTTAATGAAAGTGTTTCCCTGAAGCTAGTCACATTAATATGCCCGTGTGTAGAAGTGGATTAAAACTGAGTAAAAGGATTCCCAGCCTTGGTCTCACCCAGGAAAGGGCCTTTGTCTTTTGTGGTTTTCTTCCCTTTGGTACATACCGTGGCCTTTTTAAGTTACCCACAATGTATCATGAATGTTTCCAGTGGTGTTTTAGATTTCATGGTAAAGGAGAAATAGGCCTAGGTTAGCACATAAATAATAAACAGTTTCAAAATTGCACATCCTTCAGATCAGGATCATTTATTAGCTCAGGATCATTTTCTGCTGCTGTCATTGTGAGAATGTTCCCTCAAATTCATTTTTAATCATAACTTGTAGAATCTTTCTTTAATGCAGAGTAATAATCAGCTTTTGCACCTAAATTCCTATAGCCTTATCCTTGTCCTTGTCACTCAGTCACTGTTTTTGACATTTCATTTTGTTGACCACCTCGGCTCTGTGGGTTGACCGACCAACAAGGGGTTTCAGTGGAGACTGGGTCAGGAGGGGGCCTTAGCCCTGCCGGTAGTCACCATCCCAGAGCCCTTCTGGGCAGCTGTGCACCCTTCCCATCCCACAGCCACCCCAGACAGGGGAGGACCTCAGACAAGGGAGGACCCCAGAGAAGGGAACTGGGGCTCCCAGACTCTCAGGAGCAGTGCCAGGTTATCACCATTGATGGGGTGCTTGGAGTGGCCAAAGCCCAGGAGGCGCCCATCTCCCCAGAGGAGGCTTTGTCACTCCCTGAGCTCAGACATCCTCAGGAGAGAGATCCTGCTGATAGACTTGATTCCAAGTGAGTTTATCTTTTCCTCACTCCCTTTATCTTTGTCTTTCTGAGCTTCTATCTAGGGGAGGTGATGTCTTCATGCAATACTGAATCAATGGAGAGACCTTTATCGCACTTTTCTAAATGCTGCTTTTTCCAGAGCAGAAAGCAGAGCTAGTTACCCATTTCTGCTTCCTTTCCTCATCTTCCCTCTAGCCTCCCCAGCCTGTTTTCAGGGGATAACAAATTTAGAATTCTGTTTGACTAGGTGTGGTCACTTTTTACACCATGGGCACACCCTGTCATGTGAAACCCCTGTCTAGAAGTGTTCAGGAGCCTGTGTCCCACAGTGAGAGGAGTGGTGGGAAGGTGGGCTGGGACTGAGGTAGGGATGTGACAGCATACCCCCACCCACCACCCTGACCAAAGCTTCTTTCTGCAGATGAATGGCCCCCAGGCCTCCTGTTCTTTCACTTAAAACTTTAAAAAGTACCTTCCTCCTAACACCTTCCATCGCCTTAGGTTAGCGTTGGGATTGTAAGGGTGGAATTTATCCCAGGAGAAACAGCCTCATGTTGATTTCACCACAGGAAAGGCCCATACAAGGTTAACAGCAGCTCTGTTGTGAATTCCTTGGCGCCCCATGTCTCCTAAACCCAACTAAACTGAGGCCATGGAAACGACTAATTTTAACAGTGCCAGTGACATGCCTTATCTTAGAGCTCCCCAGAGCAGGAACATCACCCCAGCAGGATGGAGCATCTGAAAAAGAGGAAAAAATGGGGGGGAGGGACTTCTCATTATCATGGAGAGTTTTAAATATATGCTTCCCCCACCAGGGGGTACCCAAAGCTGGAAGATGAAAATAGGCACCCACCATGATAAATCGAAGAGTTTACTTAAACATAGTTTAGGAAAATAATAAGTAATTGTAAAACATTTTTGTGTTATGTTTAGGAAAATAATAAGTAACTGTAAAACATTTTTGTGTCAGAACAAAACTAGATCCTTTATGAAGGAGTCAAATGATATGTGAACTTTAAAAATAAAATCTAAGACTTCCTAGCAATTGTCCATGAGTTCCACATTGTGCCCCAGCTCCTGGGGGCTGCACACTGACTCTGCCCTACCTGTAAGGCCACTTAGTGGGAAATGCTGGGGGGCACTTTGTGGAAAGTAAGAACCACGTCTGCAGAGCAGTCTCTCAGCGGTGTTTGCTCATTCAGTCAGCATTTCCTGAGCTCCTGTTGAGTGCCCGGCTCTGGGCCAGAGGCTAGGGTGCCAAGATGTCTGAGACATAAATGGGGGCCTTATGCTCAGATGTTCATCGTCTGGTGGGGGAAACATTGTTAAGCAGTGCAGGATGGCCAAGCTAGATAGAGGTGGAGACTGAGGGGCTGTGAAAGCTGCCTGTCTGTGAGCTAGATCTTAAAAGATAAGGCATCTGCGGGGGCATGGGTGGGGGGAGTGTGATTGGGGGTACTGATGATGAGCTGGCGTGTTCCTTCCTCCCCTAAGAGTTAGCTACCTGGGCTTCTCTGTCCTCCTTGCCTCTGCCCTCCTTCCTCCTTGACTTTCCCCCAAAGCAACAAAAAAAATCTAAATGGGTCATTTGTATTCATTTTCTTGTTAAAGCTGACTTAAAAATTTTTTGATTTTAACCTTAGGGTTCTTTCCAGTTTTTTTGGGGGGGGGCACTCTAGAGGGAGTACAAAGCCTGAAGGACGTAAATGTTAAAAGGAAGATGACTTAGGTCAGATAGTCCCTTAGAGACCATCAGACTGACACAGATGTAATCTGGAAAGCCCTGAATTAAAAGGCTCCCATTTTAGACACTTAAGACTGTGCTGCTGCTTTCTGATGAAGAGTCATTAAATGATGCTGTGTGTCTTTAAGTCTGTTAACCATGTGGAAATATTTGTTTCTGCTCCTTGGCTCCTCCTTTTTCCTGTATGGCCATGCCATCCTATTGTATCCTTGAACGGATTTTAATCTACACGCTTAATTTCATGTTGGTACATTTTTAAAGCATTGTTAAGACTGATATACATTGGGAAAATCTTTGGTTTTACCGCCGACCCTTTTTCTCAAGGTGAGTATGAAGTTTGTGAACTTCAGCCCCATGTAGCTGAGCGTGGTCCTGGGTAAATACGACTTATCTCTGGTGATTGTGTGCCATGGGAGGAGCCGAGAACATCTGTAACCAGGGTGGCTATTTCACATTAAGTCGTCTTTAAGGAGATGGTCCCATGATGACCAGGGTTTGGAAAGGCTGTCTCAGTGAAGCCTACGATTCAGACAGATTATGTCTCTTCTTCGGGTGGCTTTGATGGTTTTTCACTTCTGAAATGGTTCACTTAACTCCTCGTCCCCTTTGGGGTTTGTGCCAGTAGGTAGGTCAGATAAGAACACGCAGTGGTGTTTCAGAGCTTTGCTTCTTTAGACACGCTGCCGGGTTCTCCGGGGAAATGGTGATCATGGACAGGGGCCCGCAGTTGCCTCTGCAGGGACCCATCCGATGCCAGGCATACCCGCGGTTAGGCAGAGGGCCCTCCGAGCCCCTGAGTGGGAGTGAAGACCCCCAGGAAGGGACTGGTAGATGAGACAGGAACTGGAAGGCCTGGTTTCTGGTCCTGCCAGTGTCACACAGCAACTCTGTGACTTCACCGAGCAGCCAGGACTTCAATCCCCTCACCCTCAAACGGGGGTCCCGCCGTGCTGCCTTCCCTGCAGGGTGGTGGCTTGAGGTCAACTAATGAATGTAGAAGTGCTCTGAAGAATATATCCTATGAAGAATTGTACTCATTGAATGTATCTTAAATCCACGGACCTCCTGCTAGTCCCCTCCCTGAGTGAAGTGGGAACAACTAAGGGGGCTGTTTGGAAACTAAAGTATACCGTTTTCTGGACTTCCCAGGAGGTGACCAAGAGAAACATCCTTTGTACGCATGTTAATACTGTACTCAGTGTCCCAAGGAGGCTGTGGAGTTTCTCTGTCAGCTCTAAAGTATTATGCAGCTCTAAATTATCATTGAGGTTATGTCTGGTTTTTCCTCTTGCACAAATAGAGGAGAATGGCATTTCTGTAACATAGTGGTTAAACACCAGCTTTAGAGTCGAATAATCAAGACTGGACTCTTTGCTCTAGTTTTTACCAACTGTGAGATTTGGTAAAATGACTTGGGTTTTTGAGCTTTACTCTCCTAGTCTGTGAAATGATGTTAATAATATGAACCATGTGGAGTTGCATGAGGAGTCAGTGAGCTGGAGAGTGGAGAGAGCTTGGTCACTGTTAGGATACTTACTTGAGGAAGAGCATATAGAGTGAGATTTGATCCAAGAAAAATCTAATCAACTCAGTCTTTTTAAACCAAGTTTTTTCCTTGAGAACCAGGACTATAGATTGGGGTTAATTTGCATGTTGACTTCACTCAGGAGTTAATAAGCTAAATAGTCTCTGTGCTTTCTGCTTTTAGAGGATCTAATGTTCAGCAATGCTATTAGAGGTGCAGGAGGATAAAATGGAAATTATTAAGAAGTTGGTCAATTATAGGACCTTGTTAAGGAGACATTTGATTCGCCTTTGTCTCTGTCCAAGATAGACTAAGGACCCACAGTGCTTATTAGATAGGTTCTGGTGTCTATTAGATGGATTTCTCCTGAGAAGTTTAGATAATCTGATATTTATATAGTGGCAGTCATATCCCTGGCATTTAGCAGTGGCCAGAAAGAGATTAGATAAAAAGACCCTTAAGAGATTAGTGTAATGTAACCCAGACTTTGATGCATCTGCTTTCTGTTAGCCTTTGAAGTCAGGCCCACATGCCATTTTTCACAGTGAATCCAAAGGGCAATTTTAGGATCCTATGGTATGAATAAGTTTTCTATTCAGTTGTTTTTAATACTGTTGTCTTGGTGCTTGGATCTTCCTTCGTACATAAAATATTTATCCACACAGATCTCTTTTCTTTTATAAATTCAGTGTCATAAAATGAA